ACCGGTCTGGGCAGGCGCCTGCCCCCCAGGGACAGAGGCTCCCTGCACCGGGCACAGGAAGCACTGAAAAGAGAATGCACTTGGGTTGGAAAAAAGGGAAAGACCCGGGTTTGATGGCTCTGTGGCCATGGGCAAGCTTCTTAACTTCTCTGAGCTTCACTTTGAAAAATTGGAATGATTTTTGCAAGTTTGTAAAAATTACACTCTGTGATGACATGGTTACAACAGCACAATGCCAGGCACACGGCAGGCACTCCACCCTCTTTGGCACTGATGTCTCTGTTCGTTATCACCCATCTCCTGAATCTCAAGTCTTTTCCTCTGAGTTAACTTTTAAGACTTTGCTTATATGACCTTCCCTAAGAACCCTACTTATCCTAAAGTCTCCTCTCATCACTTTCCTATTCCTCTTATTCCACTATCAAATGTTTTGAAAGTATAATCAAACCAATCACATCCACTGGTTTTGCACCAACACTTCTTAACTTTTTCCATTACGTAATGCTCCATCTCTTCCCTCTACTGAAACTCCTTTTACGGTCAATAATGATTCCCTGGTCACCAAGTCTCCTAGCCAACTGTTATCCCAATGCACTCTGCTTCAGTGCTTGCGGGCCTGGGATGCATCAATAAATAAAATAGCCCTAACCGGTTTGGCTCAGTGGATAGAGCGTTGGCTTGCAGACTGAAGGGGTCTCAGGTTTGATTCCGGTCAAGCGCCTGTACCTTGGTTTTGGGCACATCCCCAGTAGGAGGTGTGCAGGAGGCAGCTGATCGATGTTTCTCTCTCATCGATGTATAGTAAGAGAAGATATGAAAAACAAGAAACAGAGTAATGCCAAAACCGTTTGGCTCAGTGGATAGAGCGTCAGCCTGCGGACTGAAAGGTCCCAGGTTCGATTCCGGTCAAGGGCATGTACCTGGGTTGCGGGCACATCCCCAGTGGGGGATGTGCAGGAGGCGACTGATCAATGTCTCTCTCTCATTGATGTTTCTAACTCTTTATCTCTCTCCCTTCCTCTCTGTAAAAAATCAATAAAATATATTTTAAAAAAAAGAAACAGAGTAATGAGATGGAGAGTAGCGTCAGGTGGGGAAAGTGGGCAGGAAACTCGTGTAGAAAGAACCAGGGAGTGCCGCTCTAAGAAGGCACTTGAGGCAAGCCCGACACGCAAGAAAACAGCCAGAGGATGAAGAGCATTCTGGGCAGGAGGGATATTTGCTACAAAATCTCTATAATGGGGGAAAAACAATAAGTTTGAGGTGCATTTTAAAAATCAGCATGGCTGGACCATTCTGAACAAGACAAAATGGTAGACATGAGTGTGAAGAGAGAGCCAGGGCTCGGGCAGGCCTTGCGAGGCTACAGAGGAGTCTAGGTCTTATTTAAGGGCAATGAGATGCCATTGAACAGGTTTTCAGTGAGAAACATGCACGGTTTTATAGATGCAGAGAGAGCTCTGGCTACTGCTGTGAGACTAAAATAGATGGTTTCACTGATGAACAGGAAGGGGAAGATGAACCTCAAACTGGAAAAAGTAAAAAAAAGAACCCCAGCAAGGACTGAGGCCAAAATGGCAGAAATAAAGAAGGAATAGTAAAGAATTTAAATGAGTTAAAGACTCTCAGACCAAGGCCAAATGTATTTCAGGGCACTGAAGGCATTTGCAAAAGTGACTGAGAGTCACTGCCAAAACTCCGGAGGAATGTCAGAAATGGAGAAGACCAAATGATCCTATTTTCAATAGAAGAGAGACAATTTCATTGTTCCTAAAACCTCCTGTAAAGCCCTCAAAGTGGGGCTGGTAGATATTATAAAAGACCATAGTAATTATTAGGAACTAGAGGCCCGTTGCACGAAGATTCATGCAATAGGCCTTCCTTCGCCTGGCTGCCGGCACTGATTTTCCTCCGGCACCGGGACTCAGGCCTTTGGTCTGGCCGCAGCGGAGAAGCCAAGCCTCTTCAGTGTTCAGTCTTCGCTCCGTGCCTGTGTATGCAAATTAACCTGCCATCTTTGTTGGGTTAATTTGCATACTCATCCTGATTGACTGGTGGGCGTAGAGGAGTGATGACCAATTTGCATGTTTCTCTTTTATTAGTGTAGATGAGCACAGGAAGAAGTGAGAATAAATTATGGAAAACTAAGCCAACTCTCATGGTGGTAGTGATGGTGGTAGTGGTGGTGGTGGTTGATAGAATTATCAGACTGACAATATCTCTATGCCACTCTATGTATTTGGGTAAGCCTTTTGATTATAGAATCTCAAAGATGGTTGGAACTTTATCAATAATCTGTTTCAAATTTATAACCTATAGAGGTTTTTCGATTTCCACAATATCCCAGTAATTGTTTGGGTAACAGCTGCTTGAACATAACAAAAGGAAATTCACTTCATTTTTGAAATGGTTGGAATATATTGCTGAAAATCTATTTACATGTAAATGCAAATCATTAATCCCACTTCTTTTCTCTGGGTTGTTATAAGGCTAATTCTCTCACATACACTCCTTGTTTGACAGTTTCTGAATGTGTCAAACTAGGCAGACATGTTTGGGTTTTTATTTACGGTTGGGCAGCCATACCAAAGCAGTCAGCTGCAGCTCATTGTCAAGCTGGAGTGGGTCTCTAAACTCACACCAAAGAACTCTTCCTTTTTCCTCTACCTACTTTTAAAAATCTATGTTTGGATCCGTGATTGTCAAATTTAGAGGTTTTGACAAAAAAACAAAGCTAACGAATAGAGGTATGTTAGATTTAATCTAGGTTCAACAAAAGTATTAACAGGATGTGGTAATTGGTTGAAACTAATACATTTTAACAGCAGCAAGTACAGAATTTCATGTTAATTTTTCCAAAATTCCCTCTGTAGGTACAAAATGACTCTGCAACAGGTTGAGTGAAAAATACTTAGGGATTTTAATAGCCCATAACCTCATTCTGAGTGAGATGCGGCTGTAAAGGTGCCAGGAGAGACGCACCCTCTGAAGCAAGGGTGCCATAACGCCCTTGGGTTTACGCTGGTCACCACACAGACACCGGTCAGCTCCCGTCCGGGATGTCACTTTGAGAATTATGCCGACAAACGGAAAATCTTCCGGGAAAATGATCGGGTGGGTAAGGGTAGGAAACTAGGAAGTACTTGGGAAGACACTTACGACGTTCAGCCCCAAACAAAAAAGCCTGGGGCAGGGTGTGGGGAAGCTTAGTTCTTTCAAGGAAAACAGGTTGAGGACCACGAATGGAGCTGTGAAGAGACGAGTGCACAGGATTTAATCGAATATAAAGAAGAACTTCCTTAAACAACCAAAGGGACTGACTTCTGAAGCAGAAAACGCATCGCTGAGAAAGGTCATTGGGCATGTTTGGGGGGATTCCCGCATTGGGAAAAAATGGCTGAATTAAAGCAACTTGAACTTCTCATCCAAGTCTAGCACATTGTGCTCAAGGGCTGATCTTGAAAACAACGCAGTTCATGGTCTGTGGCTGTGCCCAGGCCGCGGTTCTATCTTGGGCACACGCTGGGCACAGGCTGCCGGTGACAGCTCAGGCGGGGGAGTTCCTGCCTCGGGCTCGCTTGCCGTCAGCTGTTGCTCCCGTTCTTTTTTTGGAATATCAGCTGCAAGGGAGCAGGAGGCGATGAGAAGGGAGAGGTTCTTGAATTAACCTTCCATTCAGGTCCAGGCATTCTTAACCTGCGATGTCAACGGGCTATAACCGAAGGGAAGGCTCCGGTTTTCCTGCCACAGGAAGAGGCACCCAGACAGCTGCGAGGGCAGGGCGTGGCTGCCAGTGGGAAGAAGCCAAACCACAGTCTATCCACTTTTTAAACCGAGTGAATGAATGAATGAGTGAATGAGTGAATGGAAAGTGATCAGAGCACGCGGGGCTGCCCAGCCTCATAACCACGCCCGCTGACACTGGTCCGCCTCACTAGGCGGGGAGGGGAGCGGGCACAGGTGGCCTCATCTCTACCCACGCCTCAGCGGCCATGACCGCGCTGCGCCCGTGCGCCCGGGGCCTAGGGGTCAAGGCTAGACAAAGGCTGGGAGGGAAGCACCGGAGGGGCTGGGCGGGGTCGGGGAGGAGCAGGGAGCGTGTAAGGTGTGCATGCGGTGACGTCATTGCCTGAGAGAGTCGGCCCTCTCCTTCCAGGCGCCGCAGGCCGACGTCTGTGGGGTTGCTGGTGGGTGTGAACTGAGGGGTGTGGGGGAGGAGGGGGGCCGCTGGGGAGAGGTGTGGAGGTGCGACCGGGAGGCCGGGAGACCGGCGCGGAGGAGGAACCGCCGGGCTGGACGTGTTTGCGCCGCTCTGGCTCCGCCCT